GGGAGATCTGTCGGTCTGTGGGGGGAGATCAGATGACGAGCAGATCTGTCAGTTGGTGGGGAGGGGGGTGGTTGGGGATCAGATTGGTTGGGTAGTTTATGGGGACATCATGGGATCGGTCAGCCTGTGTATAATAGAAATGTCGTCTGTGATGGGCGTCTTCTGCGTCTTGTGATTGGTCGTCTTATCTGAGCCGTCTGTACATCGGAAACAATCCGACACACAGAATTACATTGACAGAATATCGTCTTTGTGTAGAATACGTGTTTGTAAACATTGCTGTCTGTGCGTATAAATAATACCTGCTGGAATTCGATAGCTGGCCTCTGATTGGTCGATGTCGGGTTTATATCGCGCTCCTCTATACACAAGACCCCTCCCTCTTCCACAGGTTCATACTTTTGATCACATGACTTTGTCGCCCTTTGTACGAGATATGAATCCGGGGAAACGTGTTTCTCTCTCTCTCTCACTTCCTGCAGCTGTTCTCGATATTCGTGTCACGCTCCTGGGGGGTGGGGGGGGGGATTCATCGGTCCCAGGCTTATTTCCTCCCCTTCAATGGGTGAAACAAAAACCCAAAACGCATGCCGAAAAACAAAAAATTGCATGAAAATGCTGACGCATGGAGTGTGAACGGAGACTTAAAATGCTGGTCAGCTATTAAACATAAAACTTTATTCCCCCCCCCCCCCCACACACGCCACAGTGAATTGTTACTTTCAATGCTTGAAGTGTTGTGAGCTGAAGTTAGTCCTGAATGTCAAAATAAAGCGAAACCCAAACTGTCTGCAGAGTTTCTACCAGATGTTACAAAGGTATAGAGACCGCTATGAGCCACATCATTTGTTATAGCAGACATAAAGGGGTCCTGATGAGGTAGTAGGGGGGGATTTGACAAACATTGCGAGGATAACTAACAGATGTACCTTGAATAGATCATTAGGTATTAGTTGAAGATTCCTTCTATCTGATGTAATTCTTCTTTTTCCCTTTTGTCAAGATAATTCCAGTAATTCATATAGTCGCCGAAGATCCTTTTTATTATTATTTTTCAACTAATGCAACCTGGACAACCGATTAAATGATAGGTTCATACTGGTACAATTATCACAAGACAAAATGGATTATCTTCAGGCATACCTTGTGCTATGTTAAATCTTATACTATGATTGAGGGCCTGAAACATTCTTGTGGTAAGAGATGTACTTTTAACCCTTACTGTGGGCCGTATATGGTAAACTATTCTAAATGATACAATTTGCCCAAGATAGCAATACTTTAAAAGGACACATTATATAAAACACTTTTATATGGTTCACACTTGATGCATTATAGGCAAGCAGCAAACCCTAGTGTAAATGATTGTTCACTAGTTGTGCAGTGTTGAGGTTAATATACACATAATATATATTGTATAGTATTATTGTATCTTAAAGTTGAATATAATCATACGCTAGGGCTAATCCCCTTGTCTTGTACATGTACTTACATGTGTTTATGACCTACAGCACCAAAACAACCAGAGCAGAAGGGATTGAGCGAAGAGTTCCAACTATACTCAAGATTATCTGTTGTATTCCATACACTACATTTTTGATCTATGAATCTCTTGGAAGCATATGCTTCTGACAGTTGCTATTTTCAATAGATATGCACAAATCTAACATTTTAACATGTAAGTTGTCAACTATTTTTTTTAATGCCGTGCTCCTGGAGTGCCAAAATTAGTTGAGCTTTGTACCAGTCTACAAAATAGTCACTGTATCCACCAGTTAATTCACTACCACAACTCTTGTTAAGGGGGGCACGGGGTAACCTCTAAAACACATTGGCTTTAGGTGATATTTACATTGAAATGAGTGTGGTGCTTCAATTCCAGATTAATTTACTTAAGTAGTGCAGCGGCTGCATCATTTGTCTAGGACAGGGGTCAGCAACCTTGGCCCTCCAGCTGTTGTGGAACTACTAGTCCCATAAGGCATTGCAAGACTCTTGACAGCCACACACATGACTCCCAGAGGCATGATTACATTTGTAGTTTCACCCCAGCAGGAGGAGCCAAGCTTGCCTACCCCTGGTGTAGGAATGCTTTCCTTGCTCCCGCGCCATCATGTACGACGCAGGACCAGCGTCCTTGTATCGCACGCACAGCGAAGAACCATTAAGCCAGCCACACCCTGGTAGGTTTCTGTACGAACGTTCATACGGTCAGAACATTCGATCGTCGGAGAACTCACAAATGTCATTCGAAATGTTTTTTATTTGATTTTTAACTTTGATTGATTTTGGAACGAATGGAGTTTCCCAAACAAACAAAAAAAAACACATTTATTGTAACTGGTTTGGTGAGTGCGAGCAGGAAGTATTCTTCAGGGTAAAGCACACCTGACCGTATCATAAGTTACATTGTAGCCAAAAATAACCGAGTCGTGGCAAAAGTCGCGCCAGTTTCCTGTTTGTGCGTATTGGGTGTATTTTCCCAGAAAAGTCTCTCTCTCTCTCTGGCGCTCTCTCTCTGGCGCTCTCTCTCTGGCGCTCTCTCTCTGGCGCTCTCTCTCTGGCGCTCTCTCTCTGGCGCTCTCTCTCTCTGGCGCGCTCTCTCTCTCTCTGGCGCTCTCTCTCTCTGGCGCTCTCTCTCTCTCTCTGTCTGGCTCTCTCTGTCTGGCTCTCGCTCTCTCTGTCTGGCTCTCGCTCTCTCTGTCTGGCTCTCGCTCTCTCTGTCTGGCTCTCGCTCTCTCTGTCTGGCTCTCGCTCTCTCTGTCTGGCTCTCGCTCTCTCTCTCTGTCTACTATTTTTTTTAATGCCGTGCTCCTGGAGTGCCAAAATTAGTTGAGCTTTGTACCAGTCTACAAAATAGTCACTGTATCCACCAGTTAATTCACTACCACAACTCTTGTTAAGGGGGGCACGGGGTAACCTCTAAAACACATTGGCTTTAGGTGATATTTACATTGAAATGAGTGTGGTGCTTCAATTCCAGATTAATTTACTTAAGTAGTGCAGCGGCTGCATCATTTGTCTAGGACAGGGGTCAGCAACCTTGGCCCTCCAGCTGTTGTGGAACTACTAGTCCCATAAGGCATTGCAAGACTCTTGACAGCCACACACATGACTCCCAGAGGCATGATTACATTTGTAGTTTCACCCCAGCAGGAGGAGCCAAGCTTGCCTACCCCTGGTGTAGGAATGCTTTCCTTGCTCCCGCGCCATCATGTACGACGCAGGACCAGCGTCCTTGTATCGCACGCACAGCGAAGAACCATTAAGCCAGCCACACCCTGGTAGGTTTCTGTACGAACGTTCATACGGTCAGAACATTCGATCGTCGGAGAACTCACAAATGTCATTCGAAATGTTTTTTATTTGATTTTTAACTTTGATTGATTTTGGAACGAATGGAGTTTCCCAAACAAACAAAAAAAAACACATTTATTGTAACTGGTTTGGTGAGTGCGAGCAGGAAGTATTCTTCAGGGTAAAGCACACCTGACCGTATCATAAGTTACATTGTAGCCAAAAATAACCGAGTCGTGGCAAAAGTCGCGCCAGTTTCCTGTTTGTGCGTATTGGGTGTATTTTCCCAGAAAAGTCTCTCTCTCTCTCTGGCGCTCTCTCTCTGGCGCTCTCTCTCTCTGGCGCGCTCTCTCTCTCTCTGGCGCTCTCTCTCTCTGGCGCTCTCTCTCTCTCTCTGTCTGGCTCTCTCTGTCTGGCTCTCGCTCTCTCTGTCTGGCTCTCGCTCTCTCTGTCTGGCTCTCGCTCTCTCTGTCTGGCTCTCGCTCTCTCTGTCTGGCTCTCGCTCTCTCTGTCTGGCTCTCGCTCTCTCTCTCTGTCTGGCTCGCGCTCTCTCTCTCTGTCTGGCTCGCGCTCTCTCTCTCTGTCTGGCTCGCGCTCTCTCTCTCTGTCTGGCTCGCGCTCTCTCTCTCTGTCTGGCTCGCGCTCTCTCTCTCTGTCTGGCTCGCGCTCTCTCTCTCTATCTCGCTCTCTGTGTCTCGCGCTCTCGCTTTCTGTTTCTCGCGCTCTCGCTCTCTGTGTCTCGCGCTCTCGCTCTCTGTGTCTCTCTCTCGTGCATTATTTGTCAGCAGCCAGCCTGTAATAACCCGGACACCATCGGGGAATCGTCTTTCAGCTGCGGCCAGCGCCACCTGTCCTTATAGGATCATTAGAAGAGCCAGAGAGCCCTTGCCAGAGTGCAGTGTGGTCTGCCGGTCCCGGTCCGGCAGAGTGCATCCCAGACCTGCAGATCACATCCCAATCTGCTCATTCCCATAATACAAGTATATCCCTTATTAAGGCTCGCTCAGAAATTCTCCCTTTTTCTTGATAGGAACATCATCTGATCCATTTATTTATACGCACAGATAGCGATGTTTACAAACACGTATTCTACGCAAAGACGATATTATGTCAATGTAATTCTGTGTGTCGGATTGTTTCCTCTGTACCGACGGCTCAGATAAGACGACCAATCAACAAAACGCAGAAAACGCCCATCACAGACGACATTTCTATTATACACAGGCTGACCGATCCCATGATGTCCCCATAAACTACCCAACCAATCTGATCCCCAACCACCCCCCTCCCCACCAACTGACAGATCTGATCATTGGCAGACGGTTTTGTGCATTGCGTAGTATACAAATGCAACATGCCGCCAGTTTTCCTCAACCTGCAGCGACTCAGCGTGGTGTGAATGGGGGCAGACGGGGGAACCCGGGAAAGAAACATAGAAGCAGATTAAACTTCAGCTTTAAGAGGAGACCGAGAAAATCCCTTAAAGGAGAACTATGGGGTCAGGGCTTTTCCCCATAGTTCTCCTTAGGGTAACGGGAGGACACAAACCAGCGTCCTCCCGTCACCCAAAGCTATGGCTCGCGGGATACTGAGACGCCGCAGCCGGAACGGATCCCGACAATTCTGTCTGGATCCGCCCAGCTGCGTGAGTGACAGCTGGCTCTGCCTATCTAGAGGCAGAGCAAGCTGTACCCGCCCCCTCCCCCGTCCGTTCCGCCAGTCAGCGTTGGAGGATCGGGGAGGGGGGAAGCCCCGCAGGGAGCCGTGAGTGACGGTCACGGCTTTCTGCACGGATAGATCGAGAAGTGAGCGAGCGCGGATATGTGTTCACTCAATTCCCTATCTACTGAGCCGACCTGTGACAGTCTCATTGTCACAGGTCGGCTCAGATTATGAGGCTGAGTGAAAATCACTCCCCTCATAGTTCTCCTTTTAACTAACACTTAACTGATCAGCAACATGTGCTGAAGGTTGTCTGTTCCCTTTAAGAGATATTTTCGGGTCCCCTCTGCATGCATGTGGTTAGACCTCAACTTCTGCTGTGACTCTGGATAGTCCTGTTGTTGCCGGTTTCCCCTTTTTAGAAAGTACGAGAAAACGGCACCAACAGGCTCGTAGGCAGCAATAAAAACCAGACAAAGGACCTAAAAGCTTTTGCTGGGGTTCCACTTCAGCCATAATTTGCATGATGGAATTGTTGGAATACACTAGATGACCGAGAGAATGTAGAAACCCCTCATCACCCTCTCCCCCCCCCCCCCCCCCCAGCGACTCCGGAGACAACCTCCAGCCCCCCTGCCTCCTCCCTCCCGGCACCGAGAAGGTTAAGGAGAGCGGGACATGATCCGACAGACCGCCAGGGAGGTATGATGCTCCAGTGATCATGCCCAACATAGCCTGATCACCAAACGCCATATCAATCCGGGCCGAGGAGCCATGAGTATGAGAGATGTGCGAGTATGCCTTGATCCCAGGGTGTTTCCACCGCCACACCTCCTCTA